TACCGTCGGTGCCCTGGCCAATGAAATTGATCATAATATAGGGGAGGATAGGGTAACATGAAAAGCTGGTGTAAAATGAATACTTTTTTCTCGATTTTTTCCCCATAAAATTACAGATACCTTCTGCGGTTAAATGGATACCTGGTTTCTTATTGTAAACTCATAAATAGTTATTATTTCGTTTGATGATTCGAATGGGATACAGTACCAATAATCAAAATTTCATTACAACAGTGAATTATACAATGAGTTACGGCGTGGATTTTTCATATCACTTCTGATTGAAAAAAATCAACCTACTAGAATGGAAAATAATAGGAAATGGATAAAAAGAGATGAATGAATGTGTGGTTAGGTCGATGGTATTTGTAGCAGTTCAGAAAGATATCAAAGATCAACCCATGAAATTTATGGGAATATCGTGCATTAGTGAAATATTTTTAATGGTCGATGCATTGGTGATTTATAACCTCAAGAGATATGTACCACTTACATTTTATCTTTTTGATGCTGTCTCTTTCCCATTTTCGTGAATTTTCTTCTAAATGTCTTCTTAAAAAGGTTGAAAATATAAACTAAACTTTCTGCTTAATTGCTTTTTCTTGTTATGCACGTTCTTTTCACTCCGTGCTTCTGTCGCCGATGACAGAAGAGAAATTGTTACTTCACCTTGGAGTGGGAGAATTTTGGTATAATACAGTCAGCATAAGTTTTTACTTCCCTGGGTACCCCCACTCCAGGTAGTTACCACTTGTAACCATTGCCCCCACTCCTAAAATCGATGTTAAAAGTTACGCTGACTTCAGTATAGTTTTGACTATTTGATTTCTCGAAAAAAATTACAGGTCTCACATAAATGGCGCCACCTACTGGCTGTTCATACCTTAATGTAACACTATGTTACTCGTTCTATTAGATTGTACTTCTTGGTTAACCATTCCGAATGCAAGATGTCGAATATGTCTAGTGAAGTATCTATGAATTCTGAGAAAAAAAAACAATTTGGAGATAGAAAATTGACAGATGCTAACTGTGTTTTTGAACATAACGCTTGGTAAGTTTATATGAAGATGCTATATAAATACAATGTAGAAAGTTGCAGCACCTCTATTAATTTAGATAACTAGTGGTATCTCTCGTTGATAGCGATGAATTTTTTTCAACATTTTTCCAGAAGAACTTATTTAATTTAAAAAATTATAAAAACGTTTCTGAAAGATGAAAAAATTTGAACAGGGCAAATTCTGAGAGAAATAATGAGCTATCTTGACTATCCATGATTTCCGTAAAAGTTCGCAAATTTACAAATATTGGCAAATTTTCGACATTTTTGTAATTTTTAAAATTCTTTTGGAAAAGTATAAAAAAAAGTCACGGAAAATCATGTTCAGATGATCCAAAATATTCTCAAACTTGATGATTTGACTTGATGACAGCCACCATTCAATTCTAGGGATAACGTCGAATGGAATGAAGAACAGCAACTACTTGCTCAAGAAAAGGTATCAGAAAATTCGGTTATAACACTCAGTGAAGAAGCCCTGAAGGAATTCCACATTAATGCTGTTGAAAAATGGAATAAATTCTACGGAATTCATCAAAATAAATTCTTCAAGGATAGACATTGGCTTTTCACCGAGTTCCCAGAATTGGCTCCATCAATAAAGGGCGATGATTCTGAAATCTCTGAGACTGTGCCCTCAAAATCTCGACTTGAAAAAATAAAGAATACAAGAGATGAATTAAACGATTGTCAAGAAAAACAAAAAATCTTCGAAATTGGATGTGGAGTAGGGAACACAATTTTCCCAATTTTAATGTACAATTCTAATCCAAATTTGGTTGTATATGGGTGCGATTTTTCTTCGACTGCCATCGAGATTTTAAAGTTGAATCCGGATTATGATGAGACAAGATGCAAAGTTTTTGTGTTAGATGCTACTACAGAGAATTGGGAGCCACCCTTTCGAGAAGAGACTCTCGATATCGCTCTTCTAATTTTTGTGTTGTCCAGCATTGTACCTGACAAGTATGTATATATTTAAAAGTTCTCTAAATTCATTTGTAAGAAGGATTACTGACACGTTTAAATTTAACAATTTCTTCAAAATTCCAACCTACTTGTTTAAATCAATTTCGGCTATAATTCTCAATAAAATTCTTA